TCGGCATCAAAAGCTGAAGCCAACATGGGACCCCTCTTACAAGGCCATGAAGAAGAAAAGTAAGGGAGAGAAGCTCAGCGCTTTGGCTGAGACCACCTCGGTGCCAAAAGTTCCTGTACGTGTTTGGCACCAACAACATGAAGAAAACTACATCCCCGAGTCCGAGGAGGTCCAAGAGAACCTGGCAGGCGACTCTCAGGAGAGCGTCAACTTTGTTGGGAATGCCCTCGCTGTCACGTATGTCTACGCCACAGCTCGCCATGTCGAAAGCCGCAAGAAGTATGTGAGCACCGGTCGCATGAAGAACGTCCTGTTTTGGTTGACATGTTTTGCATTTGTTTTTACTTCCTGCCACGCTGCAGAAACGTGCGATAAGCTGCCCGTCACGACCTCAGAGCCTGCGAACGACGATGGTTGGTTGTTTTGGATGATTTTCCTTTTGCTCACCCACCTCCTGGTGATGGCAAGCAGCTGTCGCTTGTGCAAGTGCCTGCATTGGGCACCGGTGAAGGCTTCAAGCGAAGCCGGAGTGCAGAAGGATGAGGCCATTGTCTCGGCCCGACTTCGTGAAGTTTTGGAGAAGGAGAAGCTGAAAAGCGAAGAGTCTCAGAAGGCCGCTCGAGAGGCTCGCAAGGCCTTGGACCTGTGCTTGATGGAGACCCATCGATTCACTGCAGAGATCTTCGATCTCAAGGCCCTGGTGAAAGATGGAGCGATGTTGCTGCGCCGTGCTGAAACGGCCATGGACGACCACATGGAAGCCTGTCCCCACCGCGTGGTGATTGTTTCATCACGCCAAGGCGACTGCTGGCACTACCCTGAGTGCCACATGGTGGAGCAAATGGCGGACCGCAACCGTCAGTCTCTTCGATGCTGCGCCTACTGCGGCAACAAGTGGTGCCCGCTGGATGTCTCGAACCCAGCTCTCGGAGGATCTCTCCGAGCAGAGATCCATGCCTGGTTTGCTGATGTGAACTCGTCAGCAGACTAGTATTTTTTTACTACTGCCTCCCGTGTGAATTACACGCTGTGTAACATGCGGTTGAGATGAACCGTATGCACCCATCCGGAGAGGGTGGGCTCAAATGAGTGAAAACGGGCGACCCGGGCGCGGCGGCTTCGGCTGCCCTTCAATTCGATCGTGTGCCGTTCGAACCTTCGCTTTGGTTTACTTCGTGTTTTCCTGCAGCTTGGTTTGGCACCCTTGTCAGCGGACTTCGTTTGCCACTGGCATTTCTACAATTGTTAATATGTTGGTGAATTATCTGTCCTTCATCATTAATTTTATAGATTTCTTAATTAAAATTAAGGATGACTTGTATCAAGATTCCCGAGAAACCCCCCAATTCTTGCACAGTGCTTCGAGCTCAGGGCGTCGGGCTGCTCTTGGCGTGCAGACGCGGTCTTTAGTGTTGCTCAGATAGGTGATGTTGCACAATGCAAGACATGGGTCGGTGCAGGGGAGGTGCCAAACCCTTCTAGCGATTTGCCAATGGCATGACGTTGCTTTGCAGAACTTGCTTCGGTTTGGATGGGGGGACTGGTGACGTTCGTGATGCTTTGCGGAGCTTGATGTGAACGTTGGGTGAGGCAAAGTGGTCATCTTTGCTGTGATTGCCAATGGCAGGACGTTTCTTCGCTGAATGTGCATTACAAAAATGCCTTCGCCTTGGTCTCAATGAACGTCTCTTCAGGTCTTGCACATGTTGGGTGTTTCTGCCAAAGCGTAACGCATGTCTTTGTGGCTGTGGGCCAGTGAGGATGCAGAAGTCTTAGTCCTTGCTTGAGAAAGCGCACACCTACGAGAGCCTCTCATGAAACGCAAGGGCCACTGAAAGCAAAAAAAACAAACAAACCCTCAAGTTCTGTTCAAAGTGTGTGGTTTGGTGACTCAACAACTTCCACCAACACGCAGTCCCGCCCCCTAAACCAGTCCCATCAAAACCGGCGATGCCATGACCTCGATCGATCAACTGGCAAACCGTTTCGCAATAGCAGTCATATACTTCCGACTGTTCTGATGAACCTTTTTTTCTACCCCCATGTCAGCCATGTCATGGAAAGAATTGATACAAACCCCCAAATGGATAGAAGTTCGTAAATCCCCACTAAAAATGTATTGGAAACCGTTTCTATCTATTTGGGGGCCACTATGCCGCATGTCAATTCTCAGGACGTTCCCCTTTTCATCACCTCTCTCCAGTGCTCGCCCAGCCGCGGAGGGATCCACGTCGGAATCATCCGCACTTTCTGACACGGAGCCTCATGCGGTCGCAGTCTTGGTGTCGATGTCCCGAAGCTTCCGGGGGTCTTTGGTTTCGGTCTCCCTTATGGGGTCACATCCAACACACATCCAAAACGGTCAACCACATGTTGGGAATTGGGATCACGGATTTTCTCCGTCCCGCTGAAAGAACAGAGACGCACCGAGTCATACTTCCTGCGGCGCCTGGAGTTTTTGAGAGGTCTCGGATGGAGAAATCACCCAGACGCTTCCGTGGTCTGGCAAGCCAAACCCTTTCTGTTTGGGGGTCTGAAGGCCAGGCAGCGAGAAAACACCAAGGAAAAACTTATCTGATTCCCCCACCGCACATGGCACTCCGCCCCTGCTGCGGGGTCCGGCCTTCATCGTCCTCCGCCGTGAAGGCGCCTCTGAACAAGCCCCGAAGGCCCCACAGCAACGAGCGAAAGAAAGCGTTGAAGGACCTCTAGAGGTATCGAACGCTACACTGGCACAAGCAAGACCAAGCCAACACTGGCACTCCAGTGTTAAGCCATGTGGCAAAAATGGTAACCTGAAGCACTTGTTTCACCGGGTTTGGGACCACTGCCCTACCAGAGCGCCTACCTTTTCACCGGCACAACCCTGAAGATCGACGACCCGCGCCGGCCAGGCCTCTCAAGGTGAAGGCCTCTTTGCGCTCGGCTAAATCGTTCTCCAAGGAGGCCAAATATGCCTGGCCATCCATGCGACCCAGCACAGCCCTGAAATCTGAACCCTTTGCAACTTGCACAGCCGCAGGGGACTGCAACCCAAAGCGCACAAGTCAAGGGCTCCAAAAGATTCTAGCCCGAAAACATTCGAGTTTAACCATGAAAATGGTTGGGAACATCCTCCCAAAAAGTTGTTTTTTGACATGCTTTGACCATGTCTGTGGTCTTTACTGTTCCTGTGCTAGTCCACGAGGAGCAGACCTTAGTCCGAACTGGCTGGCTGTCTCTAGTTTCCCGCCCAGCGGCGACGAAATCTGAGCGACTGCGTGATGAAAGCGATGCCTCAGGGGTTGGGGGGCGCCAGGCTGAAAACATGATGTGAGGATTCTCAAAAAGCATCGGAACCCAGAACAAACACGAACAAACATAAAACGTCCCGCAATGAACAAAGATCACGTATCAGTGGATGAAATGTGCAAACGCCCTGCCGTGGTGCCACCTTCGAAACTTCTGCAATCCTTTCGACCAGAACGACACCCCAGTTGAATCCACCCTTCCGCCCATGCAGCCACGCCACTATATAGGCATGCCTCAATTCTGGAAGGGCCAAACCTCTAGCAACTTCCTTGCGTATCATCATCTGAGCAACTGAATACTATTGGAACCATCAGAATCCAAGTTGCTGCGTGTCTCGTGGCAATCCCTGCAAGAAGTGGTAAGTGGCCGCACCACCACTGTGTGGACCTACACGGGCGGACTTGAGGAGGGGTGAACGAAAGGTTGCCATCATGCATGTATCATGGGAGACGCAACCAATCATCTGGCAAGGGAAAAATGTGGAGATGATAATGACGATGATGATGGTGATGATGAAGATGATGACGACCATGATCGGAAAGCGTGAGGCGTGAGCAACGCTGCGTTAGTAATATTCCAAAAAAGTGGTCCCAAAACAGATGCAAAGTAGTGAGCATCATATGTGCATCTAGTAGAGTCCCCGTTCGCTTCTTTTTCTTATCATCTATTCTGTCCAGAAGAGGACGATGATGATGGATGATGGTGATGATGAGGGGGCCCCCCCAACCAAACCTCAAACACAAAAATCAAACACGTTCAACAATGCGGCGCCCTTTGCTTACGCAAGAAAAAGCTCAGGCAGCTCTAAGGCTACGTCCGACAAAAGCAGCCTGCCTGGGTCATCCATTCGAAAAATATTTACACCATTGATAGGTGCCCGGGTGAAACGACGCTTCCAGCTGAGCCCGCCAATTGAGCGCACAAGGTGTCAAATCGTTGCTAACCTCTCTCTGCAATGTACAATGTGTTCTGCACAAATCTGGCGCTCCAAAAATTGCATGCTGACATTTCACATCGTCCATGTTAGTTCTCTGTGCGTTGAATTTTGGAATTTGGAATTCAGGGACTTCGACGCTTACCCAGGCTAAGGATGCCGGTAGGGTTCTGACGACCTCAATTAAGTTTAGCCATATGCCCCCACTATTTGTCTGAGGAAATGGTTGCTGCTTCTCGGCGAATGCCCCAGCATGAATTGGAGGAGGTGAACGCCTGAATCAAAGATCTTATTTTAAAAAAAGCAGAGCTGGCTTTGCAGTAGTGGCTACCAGGCCCAGCCCACGTTTGAATGGTTCAACTGCGAATGCCAGTGGCCTGAAGATTATGGCATACGAAAACGTTTTCTACAACCACCAGCCGATAATACTGCTGAGTGATTCTGGAGGGGAACGCGTCACGCGACTCGGATTGGTTCAAAGCAAATCTGAATGATATAACTGCGCTCTCAACGCGGCACCAGCAATGGCCCGCCCTCTTGATAATGGTGCTAATGTTGTCTTTTTGGAAGTGGCCAGCCCCGTAGAACCAGACACTGCGGATACCCCCCAACTCTTCACCTTCGTTTAATTTGTGAGTACGCTTTTGTTGCGGTGTGAAAGTATTGATTGTTTTAATGAATGGTTCCAAATACTCTCTGAAACGACCGAAGCGAAGCGCGACCACCTGCTAGCGACCACCCTCATCTCGACTCGACTCATCGACCGGGATCCTTTTCGGCGTCTAAGTCCCCGTCTTCGGCGTCTTCGGCGTGACCGCAATGATACGCTGGTCGGCCGAGCACTCGTCGACGTGATAGTCTTTGAACAACTTCTTGACAGCGTCAAGCTCATCCAGACTGATGTCTTCCACCACGTAGAGGAAGGCCGATTGGTGCAGCGAAGGTCGGAAGGAGTCAAAGGTCAGCCAAATGGACTTCATGGTATGATAACCATCATCCACCACAAAGGAGAACCTTTTACCAGCAGCGATTGCTTCCACAATTGCAGTGTTATCATTCCTCAGAAAGAATCCAAAGTTTGTTTCAGGCAGCATCTACCCACAAAGCACACAATTTGACCTTTGCAACCTTTTAGCCCAGCTTCATCTGATTGATGGTGTGTAGCTCCAGGTTGTTCTTTACAAAGGCACCATGGCGTTTCATGTAATCCATGTTGGCCTCCCAAACAGCTCATCGGCCTTCTCCCTGGCTTATCCCTTCGTGTTCATTCACGCCCCTTCGATGAATCATCGATGTGTTTTTTCTTCGAGTGGTCTGGCCATCCAGAGAAGAGGGTCCCTCTACGGTTAGTTTGACATACATCCTGTTGCCACAAAGCAGAAAGAAGATATATATACTTGGATATCAAGCTGTCCAGTTGAAACCTTGTCCGCAAAAGTTATTCAATCATCTGTCTTTGCGCATTCAAACAAAGAAACACAAACAATCAAGAAGCGTCATCATTATCGTATGCTTTCTCAACCCCAAGCCCAACAAATGGCTATCTTGTTCTTCCCCAGCTTTCACCGCGCCTTGGTATTGTCCAACACCATGTCAAATCCGTGGATCCGAGCATCGCAACCAAAGATGTCCGACCAAATTGCCAAGCCCGATCCCTTCCTTCAGCGCTGGCGCTTGGGTGAAGCCTTTCGTCTCATTCTTTGAAGGCCTGTGCGTTTTTGGTCTTTGGAGATTGGTTTCAAGAGGTCCATACCTCAGAACAACCCTTCTAATAGTTCATGGCAAATACAGGAAGCTAAGTAATTCAACATCTTCCCATCTCCCCTGGGTTTCAGGCGGCTAAAGGCCCTCTTTGGGGTTTCAGTGTTTTGGTTGCTTCACAGATCTAGTTCCTAGCTTTCCGAAAGTTCCCAAAGCCAGATCCCTCCACCAAGCCCAAGAGTCAGGATCCCAATTTCCGCCACCAACAGGGGCACAAAGGCCTCGTTGAACCAACAAGCCACCCAGGTCAGTATTTTCAGTTTTACATACCATTGCCTAAGAAAAGCTTAGTTCCAAAAATTTGTTGAATTCTCCCCGTGAAGCATCCTGACACAGCCCATGGCAATACAACTCACATGTGAAAGAGACAAACCACAAAGACCACTCTTTTCGTCATGAATTCTTGGTCTGATGCACGTTCCACAAAGACCTCTTCTTGAGCCTGTTCTCACTAGCAGAACATGGGATGAAATTGAGAAACCCTCCAAAAAATGGGTTTGATATGTCCATGATTTCACCCAAAAGCAGGATTACTTGTCTTAATCCACAGGTATAACTACCAGAACATCACAGTTCTCCGTGTCAGGAGCCACCAGGAGCAGGGAACCCATTATACTGGGTGCAGATCACATGGGAGCTAAGGCGTCAAGTGACATAAGGAATATAGTAGGTAGGTCTTATGTCATGTCAAGAACGTGTTGGCACCTGATCGTTAGGTGACTACAGGTAGAGCAGGATGAGATACTGTAGGACTGGTGAATGAAACACACACACACATTTATAGAAATGGCGTACGGACATCGATGCAGTTCAACCTGGGTAAAAGATTGCCTAAGTAAAATGGAGAGGTAGGTTGAAGGCCATCGCTAGGGAGTTGGAGGCCACCGCCCAAGTTTCGAGGCCATCGCTAGTAGGTTGTGCGCACAAGCTGAAAGCGACACCAGGCAACAAGGTTGGAGGTCACCGCTAGTGGGTTGGAGGCCATAGTACCAGGTTAGAGGCCAGCGCTACAAGTTGACAAGACGCAAGCTCAAAAGCAGCATCGCAACAACAAAGTTGGAGGTCATTTCTAGTGTGTTGGAGGCCATCGCACCAAGTTTGAGGCCAGCGCTACTAGTTCACAAGACACAAACTCAACAACACATCCCCCTAGGTGCCAAAGTTTAGAAAAGGCAGGTACATCGGTGGGCGTCCCCACCGACATCACCAGCACACACCCAGTGTTTTCGTTGGTGCAAGACTGGATGGGCTGCTTGCACCCCCTGCTCGAAACCCAATAATTTGCTGTGATGCCAAGGTTCCACACACACGCCTCCCGAAAGGGATCCTGCCCGGAAAGGAAGCACCCCCATCCTGCCCGGAAAGGGAATTATGCGGAGCACATGTGCACGCAAAAGAGACAGAGGGACATGAAAGAGACGAGATGGACAAAAAGTAAAAAGTGTGTGTTGTTGCCGATGAAGAGGAACCAAGTGAAGAGGGACAGCCGATGAACCAAACCTCATTGTAACAAACCTGGGGCACCTGAACCTATAATACGCGCGCGTGTATGTGTACAACCTAAGGCCCGGGAGAAAGTGTGCACAAGAGAAAAGAAAGAAAAAGACGTCTGTGGGGGCCAATGAAGAGGGAACCAAATGAAAGGGGACAAAGCGATGACAGACCAAACCTCATTGAGAAACCTGTTGCAGAAGCCTTCTTTGCTTGTAGGCACCCCGCGCGCGAGGAAGGAGGGGGGGAAAGGAAGGAAGAAAAAAGGAGAGAAAGGAAGAAACGAAGGCTACGACTCAAGCATCCAACGACACACCAAAATAGGACGGGCTCCCAGCTATGACGAAAGCATTCAGGGACACCCAAGCAAGAAAGAAAGGGAACGAGAGAGAGAGAGAGAGAGAGAGTGAAGGTGAAGGTGAAGGTGAAGGTGAAGGTGAAGGTGAAGGTGAA